TGAGTGGGTCTGGCCAAATTGTCCTAGAATTGTCCTCGAATGATTATTTCAGTTGGACTGTACCATGGCACATGTTCCACATGAAAATGTTTGTGCAGATAAACACTTTGATCACAAGTCTGTCAGCTTCCAGTCCTGCAGTAACAGGAGATGGTTGACAATGTTGGATAGTGCTTTGACCAGACTGCCAAAGTCATCTTGCAGAATGTCTCAAAGCCAAACTTTCAAGCAAGCACCAATGTATTGCTTGGCTTATGGAGGGGAGTCCCTTCCTCATCAGATCCTTTCTACAGGTCCATAGTTTCAGACCTTCTGTGCATTATGCGAGAGGTAGCTGCCTTGGAGAAGATGCTACAGGCCACCAGGTCTGGAGCATGAAGCATTGATTTTTGTCAAGGTTTATCCTCAGCAGCTCAACAATAGTAAACAGAAAAAGAAGCAGGAATAGGGCAACCTCTTTCTCAATTCCAAACTTCTGCTTCCTCCCCATACGTGTTGATACCTTTAACTTTTTGAAATCTACCTATTTATTTCTTAAATATCTTCATTAATTTAGTTCCCATAGCCTTTGTGGCAGAGAATTCAACAGTTTCACCACCCTTCATGAGCAGTGAAGTCTTGCTTCAGTTGTATAGGAGCTTGATTAGACTGAGCCTGGAGTCCTGTGTACAGTTTCAGTCTCCTTATCTCAGGAAAAATATAGCATTAGAGAGATAGAGAGAGTGCAATGAAGATTCACCTGACTTGTTCCCAGAATGGCAGGACTGTCCATTGAAGAAAGGTTGAATAAACTGGGCCTGTATTCTCTAGAGTTTTGAAAAATTAGAAGTGATTTCATTGAAACTTACAAAAAAATTTAAAAGGATAGACAGGATAGACACAGGTAAGATGTTATCCTGTTTGGGAGTCTATAACCTGGGGATATAATTTAAAAGTAAGGGAGACGTCTGAGATCTGAGGTGAGGAGAAAGTTTCTTTCCTCAGATGGTTGTGAATCTTTAGAATTCTTTACACCAGAGTGCTGTGAAAGCTCAATCTGTCAGTATGTTTCAGGTAGAGAGGGATAGATTTCTGATTAGCAGTGACATTCAGGATTATGGAGATGGGGGATGTAAAAAAGCATTGTTTGATCAGCCATGGCTGCATTGAATGGTGGAGCAGGCTCAATGGGCTGAATTGACTACTCCTGCTCCTATGTTTATTTGAAGACTCACCGCGCTCTTCTTATCTCAATCCTAAATAGCCCAACTCATATCCTGAGTCCATGTCCCTACAATGTAGAAGTCTAAGCTCTACGAGCTGTTTTCAAAGATGCATACTGTTACAAAACATGAAATGCACATTAGAGGACCATCAACTTGATGAAAGGTTCTCTATGGTCAGCCCAAAACATGATTATCTTCCAATGCAAAGAACTTTAGATAACTGAGTGCTGCAGACCGACACTTTACAAGGCCTGTGTGCTGGAGGATGCGCAGTAAACAGTGTAGATACTCAAAGATACAATTAAGAAATGTCACTGTATTAAACTGTCCCACAGTAACACTCTGAGGTGTTGAAAACCATGTAAAATCCCTCAATCTGTATGTTTGCCATGGAATGAATATTGTACGTATTACATGTAATTCTACGCATGGTGAGTCACCTAAGAGTGGCACAGTCTTTACTTACAGCCAATTTCGAACTGTCATGAAATGTGCTTCCATAAATGTTACATTCCATAAGTTTTTCTGGAAAAGAAATGCTGTGAAACAACCTGTTTCTACAAAGACTGATGTATGTATAGAATCAACCATATTTAATGTAAATAGAAAAATAACTGTTTCATTTGTAATCATGAATGGGTCTAACAACACAAACCTGACCTTTATTGTGGGATAAAGGATAAATGATTAATTTGGGGTTCTCTTATGGCACAGTAGTAGTGTCCCTACTCTGGAGCAGGAGGCCTGGTTCAAGTACCACCTGCTCCTCAGGTGTATAATAACATCTCCAAACAGGTTGATTAGCAAAATAGGTTAAATAAAAATCTAGGTGTTTAATTTGAATTGGGCTTTGTTATTTGGTGCAGAGCCTGTCCAGCAATTTTAATCATTGAGAAAATGTTCAGCTACTACATTCAAAAAAGAGAACCCTTCTCATCCACAAATGCAGTGGATTTAGGAAGAAAAATTACCATTTTGTATCAGGCAAAAACTGGCAGCTCAAATTCTGAAAGTGCTTGTGTGGTTCTCCTTGGAACAATTGAAAATTGTGGGAAGATTTGACAGTGGCGTAAATGATTATAACAGATCTAGATACAATAGAAAAAGAAAATCTGACCCTGTTCGCAGAGTATACAGAGGTTACGAGACACAAATTGACAGTGCTGGGCAAGAGATGCAGGGAGAATGTAAGGAAGAACTTCTTGACGAACAAGTGGTAATAACCTGGAACCTGTTGCCAATGAAGGAGTGGAAATAGAGGCAATTATTAATTTCAAAATAAATGGGATAAACACTTGAGAGGAATAAATATGCAAGGTCAGAGCAATGCAGCAGGGGTATGGTAAAGTCTTGATTGATCCAGAGAAAGCAAGCATAGACTTCATGAGCCTCATTCTGTGGGTGCAATTACTATGACTGTGATGGATACCAGTTTGTTTCTTGTAAAATTAGATATCGTTGTGTCTATAAGTGGAATGAGGGCACTTTGTTCAGAGTTGGAAAGGCTGAAGTTTGTTTGTAATGAGAATTAGTTTTGAGAGTGGGGGAACAAAGCTGCTTCAGTTCTTGTTGGATAACACTGAGTTATTATTCAATTGGTATTCAACAGAGACATTGCTTGTGCTTGTTGTCACAACCGTCATTCAGGGTGTGTCCACAACATGGTCAGTGAACTGAATTATCGTAGCTTGTTTGGTCCCTTTTTAGATTCGTGATAATTCAACTTCAGGAAGAACAGCAGTAAACATCTAGTTTAAACAGGTTGAAAAATAGTTTATTACGAGTTATTACTGAAGGCTCCTTAAGAAGAAAGAGATTAAAGAAATCAACTGAAAAGTACAGATACCAAGATATTAAAAAGCAGTGATAATACAAAAGCATACAGAGAAGCAAGTCCCCATGTGTCTCTGTGGTACAGTGTATTGTTGGATTTTGCAGCATGAATTTCTTGACGTAGCAAAGTGCTTAATATTTGAAGTCGGATCCAAGAGCTGCACTGGTTTCTGTAATTGAATAGGTGGTGTTTTCTTGTGCAGGTGTCAGATATTTGATAAGAGAGAAGGTTCCTTTCCCATGACTCGGTCTGAGGTTTTGGCATGTTCACAGTGCATGACACTCCTTCAGCAGCTAGTTTCCCTTTCTCTTTGTCGTCCCTCAATCAAACTCCCCCCATGAGCGTGATTCTCCAAGCCTCTTCGGGTTTCTGCTTTTGGATGTTCTTCATCAAGTATGGTGTATAGAGCCCAATGCTCAAACTGGTACTTTGTTAATTTTCAGGAATCAGGAGAGCCCCAAATCAAAATACGAAATATTAAATTGAAAATTTCTTTTCACCAGCAGAAGATATATATGGACCTTTCCTTGCTGTTACAAGGAGATTCATGAGTCCAAAAGCTTACCATAAAAATCCCACCTTCTCCACCTCACCCCTCACGTGAGACACAGTGACCCTCACCATCAGTGTTCTCTCTCTAATGAGACAGCAGCCCATATGGTCCTCTGGGATTATAGTGACTTTACCTTTACCTTACATAATCTTGCTAACTCTCAAGTAACTCGGGGAGAGTGTAAGAGAAAGTGTAATTTAGATCTTGCACACAGGAACATAACATAATCAATAATTTATGAATTCAGTGTATAATGCAGCAATGGATCAAAGTTTTTTGTAATAAGATTATCAGCATACATTTTCAAAAGACAACAGCATAGTTCATTGATAATTATGGAATACAGTCTTGACCTGCACATGACTCTGTATTTAAATGCACTTTAAAATGACAAACAAGCTAAAATAATAGAACCACATCCATTACTGTTTATTGTTTATATTTATTAACGGCATAAATATATATAATATACATATAAATATATATGGGACCAACTGTGTACAGAAAACAAGCTACTTGTGTGACAGCTAACATAAATTGCTCATATCTATGTTGCCTCTTGGTAATGTTGTTTGTATGAGATATGCACTGCATTTCTCATAAACTATCATTTCCAAAGATGCAGCATCTATACAATGGAAACCAATAATGCAAATTGCATTGAAGCGCAATTATTATGTTGACTTTTATTTCCTGGAGTGGATGATCATTTAATAAGTGTCACTACCCAGTTTACAACCATGTACTCACACTCTGCCATGACAAAAATCATTGAGGAAAACAGAACCTAAAAAAATACCCAGTTGCTGACAATGGAGAGATGATTGGTTGGGAGATCGCAGACACATGATTTCTAACTGAGTAGGACTAAATTGCTTGTGAGGTCTGACCATGGCCAGTTATCTGCCTGAGTACACTTAAAAAACTTCATGCCTCTCTTACAAACCTCACTGTTGGGTGGGAAACCAACCTGGAAGAGTGTGGATCACTGATTCCTGCCCGCATCTACAAAAGACATCAGGTAACACTTTGTGGGAAGTTGGTTTGCTATTTGTAAGAATTTGTCAACTGGAAGATGAGAGATCTGGAAGCAGAGAGGGCAGGCAACTGCAGGTTGGTCCTAGCAATCTGTTCAAAGGCACACCTGGCAAGAAACTTTGGAAATTGCAACAGAAATCACTTTTTAGACATTGAAGAATGCGTGGAAGAAATTAAAATCAAGTGACTGAAAGCACGAGTTAAGAGTTTCAGTTAAATGTGGATTTTTTGTCTGCTATTCTGAAGCATTCAAGACTTTTGCCAGGAGTGAAAATTCTTTGGAATGCAGCTGACCCATTCCTCAGAAAGACTGCAAGTGTTAAGGGAAATATTCCAAATCAGCCCTGTAACTCTTTTTGATTCTCCACAGATGTGAAAATGGAACCAGGAACCGAGTTGGGCCCCAGACCAAGGTTTGATAATGATTCCCTGCAAAGCCGTCTCCATGTGTAAGTGTCCGCATGCCCACTGATATGAAAATGTGACCTCCCAGCCACACAACAGCAGCCTGAAACAACATGCATGCACTTACATTATTCTTTTATTATGATCTCATACAATCTGAACATTTAATGACAGGCATCCTTTTCTGTTCGTGAATGCCTTGACTATCCAGCTGGTGCTTTTACAGCTAGATGGGGCAATCCAAAGATGTGCAGGTTAAGTGGATTGGCCATGCTAAATTGCCCATGGTGTCCAGGGATGTGTAGGTTACGTGGATTAACCATGGGAAATGCAGGGTTACAGACTAGTGGCTTGGGTCTGGATGGGATGCTCTTCAGAGGGTTGTTGCGGACTCAATGGGCCGAATGGCCTGCATCCACACTGCAGGACTTCTATAATTCTATAATTCTATGATTCTTGAATTACCCCTTGTATCCATGGGAATCTGGTCATGGCTGTAAAGAACCTGATTCTTTCCGCTTTACTCGCATTGTCACATGTAAAACAGCTACAATAATGGGCATTCCTAAACATGGCATCCATGAATAACTTATCGCAGTGTTGTGCTGCAGACTGGGTGATCCTACAAAGCCTCCATTTACTTATTAAATGATTTGGAGTTGAAGAAACTCCACTTTTAAAGCCACAGATGTCAGATGGCCACCTGCACTGTTGGTGGCTATTTCACCGGTAAGCATGCAACCAAATGATGTGACTGTCTTCCATGTTAGATACAGATTTGGAGGCTTGTCATTCCAGCAACTGCAGTTAAACAGTCTAACTCTGTGGTCTCAATTGGCAGGGTAGACCATCACCTATCTCCGTCTGCCTGCTGCTGCCATCTCCCTTCCGGGCCCTTCATTATTTCAAGCATTTTCCCAACATCCTAGCCTCCTCCTTCTCCTCCTCTTCCTTGCTTCCTTACAAAAGCTTGGACAATTCCCATTTCACTGATTTACAACACAAATAGTACAGGACTCAATGTTGATGACAGCACTTCCTCTTTGTCCCTTCCCTGGAGAGATGCCCTGATGTAGATATAAGTGTGAAAGCCAAAATTTTTAACATGAGCTAAATCATACAACTTCAGCACGAGACATTTCTGTTAAAGTAATCCACAGTCCCTCTTACAATGTTCGTATCCATCTTTGAACAGTGCATGAGAAAATGGATGACCCACTAACTATATTTTCCACACACTCATCACATTATCGCTTGGAAAATGTTTTATTCCAGTCATTTGATTTTACAAGCAATCCTGTAAATTAGATATTTGAAAATGGAACGTGAGTTGTACAATTTAAGGCCAATCCACAGCAGATTGGAGTGATGATGTCAGGTTTGCAAACCAACATCATGATTCTGGATTTTAGGCAGGCATGAGGCTCTGGCAGTCCTCCTTGGTAAACAAGAACTTCAGTCCTATATCTAATACAGTACCCTTATCTGTTACCTTATCAAAACTCAACCAGTTATTCAACAAATCAATACTATCTTTTCTTAAACAAACCACAGTTATCCAGGGACTATTAATTCTCCCCCAGATTGTTGTTTGCAAAATCTTTGCCACAACCAAGTTTAAACCGAACTGGTCTGCAGTTGAATGATTTATTCTTACAGCCTTTACATTTGCAATTCTGTTGTCTTTTGGATTACTCAGTCCCCATTAAAGAACATTGGGAGATAATGACCAGTACCGCTGCAAATTTGCACCCTTAATCCTCTCCATAGCGCAGATACATTCTGTCCAGTCCTGGTGACCTATCAATTTTAAGTACAGGTTTGATTGTATTCGCCTCCTTGGTAAAAACAGATGTAAACTGCTCTTTTAGTATCTCAGTTAAGTCCTCCGCTTCCATTAATAGTTTTCCTTAGGTCTTTAATCAGCTCTAAAACTTATCTCATTGCGCTTTTACATATTTATATGCATAAAGAAGTCTTCAGGATTTCCTTCTGTTTTAGTCTTCACACATACTTTCTTTTGCACTTAGTTCAATTTTCACTTTCCCTCAATGTTTTCCATATTCAGCCTGTTATTCACATGAACTAATAATCTGTCATATGCCACTTTTTCTATTTCAGCCTACTCTCTGTCTTTGATCATCAGCTCATAAGTACGAATTGGCATAGCTCTGTGCACCACTTCTAACTCCATTGCAATGCATGGAAGAGCAGCTTCAACAACTTTCAGAAAGTCAGATATAATCTTCACCACTAAGTGCACTTATGGACAGTTATGAGATGACCATCTCAACTACGGTCCCGCTTGTGTCTCTGTAGTCTGGGAGGAACATATCCAATTTTTTGAGACAGGTACTAAGGACACTGACAGACTTCAATCAAGATTTTAGTGTAGTGGTGATGCTGAAACTATGTGTCCGTGTGTCTGTATGTGCTGTCATTACCCTTCTGAAACTGACAGCAACTTTTGAATCTGCAGAAGCATGGAAATCCAAAAGCTGCAGTTAATGCTTCCCTACAGGGTACATCAACAAAGACCCCTAGACTATAAATGGTAATGATCAAACCATGAAATCTTTTTCTTTCCTTTTTTCACCTCCAGAAGTACTCTTATATACAACTAAATGGCTTTTCCACCACCAAATCATTGAATTTTGTTCTTTTCATGCCTTTAGTTTAATTTTAAAAATCCTGTGAAAAAAAAACACACCATATTGAATGAGATTCACTCATTTTTTGCTGGAATTTCTGCAGAACAGCCTTATTGTCACTAACAGACTGATTGTATAATCATGGAATTAAACTGTAAAAAGTCCACTTGTCTTTTTGAATTGAATATGTTTCTTGACTTTGTAATATGATATTTGGCTTGTAAATTCAAAGTGTATCTTAAAACCAATTATTTTGCTCTCATTAAGTTCGGTTTATTTTATTTCCTAGTTTATTCTCTGTTTGAATACCTCAATCTAATAAGGTGCTTACCCAAGTTGATTTCCCACTATGCCTGGACACCTGGAAAGCTTCATGACTTTATATTTGCTCAAATGCTTATGTTTCCGAGTGACGTAATGTTTATATACAATAATTAGTCCTAATAAATGTCTGATGGGTACTTCAAGACCACAATATCCATGCCCAGTTTATTTATGTTATGGGAAATAACATAATCATTGCTGCCCATTTGGAAGCATAAATTCAGCTAATCTGGAGTTACTAGCTTGGAACATCGGCCGATCACAGACATTGTTCTGTTGGATTTGCTATTTTATCAGCAAGAATGGCTGACAACTTCGACACAAGCAAGATTAGGGTAATCAGAATTTAATTTATTACAATTTCACTGCATCAGCAAAGATAAAAGCACAAGGCAAACTTGTGACAGGAAGTTGCAATTGATTGGGAGGTATGAGGCATAGTCACATCCTCTTGTCCCTGATCCCTGAGTGAATTCAAGATAGTTCATTTAAGGGATGTGACTACCTTAGTCAAGATAACTCTCCCCTCCCTAATGTGTTGCAGTGTTTGTAACTCAGATCCCCAAAGCAGAAGCAACTCTTGGGAAAGGCTATAAATCAATTAATCATAGGAGCATGTTAAAAAAATAAAATAATAGTAATTATTTTGTTCATTCACGGGATGAGGGCATCACTGGTTAGGCCAGCATTTATTGTTATCCCTAATTGCCCAGAGGACAGTCAACAACATTGCTGTGTGTCTGGAGTTATATGTAGTCCAGACCAGGTAAGGATGGCAGTTTCCTTTCCTAAAGTACATTTGTGAACCAGATGGGTTTTTCTCAATAATCGACACTGGCTTCATGGTCATCATCAGACTCTTAATTCCAGATTTTTAAAAAAGAATTTAAATGCCACCATCTGCCATGGTGGGATTTTAACTCAGGTCCCAGAACATTACCTAGGTCTCTGGATTAACAGTCTAATGATAATACCACTGGGCCATCACCTCCCCAAGTGGGTGAATTAAATCTTTGCATTGATTGGGTCAATCAAATTGCAAAGGGTAGCAATGACAAAAAATTTATAGAGCGCATTAGGGATGGTTTCCGAGAGCAATATATCATGGAGCCAACCAGGCAGCAGGCTGTCTTGCACCTGTAACAGGTAATAAGGCGGTTTAGTAAATGAAAAGGTCCCCTAGGAAGTGGTGATCATAACATGATAGAATTTATTGTTCAGTTCAAGAGTGAGAAATGACTGTGTTTAACTTAAATAAAGGGATCTACAATGAAATGAGGTTAGATTTAGCTAAAGTGAACTGGGTAGATAGATTAGCTGGAATGATAGTAAGCAAGCAACGGCAGACATTTAAGGAGGCAATTCATAACTCTCTGCAAAAATATATCCCAATAAGGAGGAAACGTTCTAAAAGAGAAATAAACCAAACATGGCTAACCAAGGAAGTTAGGAGAGTGTGAAGTTGAAAGAGAAAGCATAAAAGGAGGCCAAAGTCAGTGATAGGTCTGAAGACTGAGATAAATTCAGCATTCATCAAAGGAAGACTGAAAAGAAAATGTCAGAGAAAATAAACTACAAAGACAAATGGATGAGGAAGATAAAAGCCGACAATACGAGCTTGTTTGAACATACAAAAGGAAGAGAGAGGTCAAAATAAACATAGGCTCCTTAGAAAATGAATTTGGAGAGATAGTTTTGGGAAACAAGGAAATAGCAGAGGAGTTAAAAAGACATTTTGCATCAGTCTTTTTGGTGGAAGGGGGTGGTGGCTCAGTGGTTAACACTCGCAGCCTCACAGCGCCAGGAACCCGGGTTTGATTCCACCCTCAGGTGACTGTCTTTGTGGAGTTTGCACATTCTCCCCGTGTCTGCACAAGTTTCCTCTGGTGCTCCGGTTTGGACTCCCACAGTCCAAAGTGCAGGTTAGGTGCATGCTAAATTGCCCATAATGTTCAGGGATGTGTAGATTAAGTGGGTTATAGGGGGATGGATCTGGGTGGGATGCTCTGAGGGTCAGTGTGGACTTGTTGGGCCGAAGGGCTGTTTCCACTCTGTAGCGATTCTATGATAATAAAGAATTGAGTACCATCACCATCACTCAAGGAGTAGAATTAAACCAACTAAAGTGGCTAAGGGCAGATAAGTGCCCCAGCCATGATGGCTTGCCTCCTCAGATCTTAGAATAGGTATCTACAGAGATGTTGGATGTATTGGTTATAACTTTCCAAAAATCGCTGGATTTTGGAGAAATACCAATTGGTACCTATGTGATACCCAAATTCAAAACAGAGGAAGGCAAAAAGCGGGCAACTATAGGCCAATTCACCAGACATCTATTTTTGGAAAAGTATTGGAATCAATTATTAAGGAAGTAATAGCAGTACATTTGGAAAATCATAATCTCATCAAACAAAGTCAGCATGGCCTCATAACAGGGAAATCCTGTCTGACTGATTTATTAGAGTTTTTCAAGGAAGTTACAACCTGAGTGGAGGAAGGGGAATCAGTAGATGTGTTGTATTTGGACTTCCAGATGGCATTTGATGAGATCCCTCACAAAAGATTAAGTCAATAAGATAAGAGTCTACGATGTTGGAGGTAGTATACTGGCATAGATAGAGAATTGGCTCATGGGCAGGAAATAGCAAGTAGGGATAAAAGGTTCTTTTTCAGGTTGGCAACTTATAACCAATGGAGTTCCACAGGGAATCAGTTGCTGGGACCGCAACTGATTATGATATATATTACTGACTTGGAGGAACTAAGCGAATATATTGTAGTCGAATTTGGAGACAACACTAAATCAGGTGGAAATGCAGGTTGCAAGAGGGATACAACCAGTTTACAGAGCAATATTGATCGGTGAGGTGAGTGCGCAAGAAGTTGGCAAATGGAGTATAATGTGGAAAAATGTGAACTTGTTCATTTTATAAGGGAGAACAAAAGAGCAATGAAATTAAAAAGTAACTGCAGAAAGCTGCAACACAGAAAGACTTGGGGATATTTTTGCACAAAACACAGAAAGCTAGCATACAGATGCGGCAGGTAATGAGAAAGGCTAATGGAATGTTGGCCCTTATTTCAAAAGGTTTAGAGAAGAAGAGCAGGAAAGTCTGACTGCAACTGTACAAGGCTCTGGTGAGACCATATCTGTCGTACCGTGTACAGATTTGGTCCCCCTATTTAAAGAAAAATATTTTTTAATTGGAAGCAGTTCAGAGAAGTTTCACTAGGATGACCCCTGGTATGGCGTGACTGTCATATGAGCAAAGGCTAAACAAGTTGGAATTCCACTCATGGGAGTTTTGAAGAATGAAAGGTGATCTCATTGAAACATAAAGGATTCTTAAGGTGCTTGACAGAGTAAATGCTGAGAGGATATTTCCTCTCATGATAGAGTCTAGGACCAGAGGGCATAGTCTCAAAATAAAGAGGCACCTATTTAAAACCGAGATGAGGAGGAATTTCTTCTCTCAGACTGTAGTGAGTATATGGAACTTTTTGCTATACAGATATGTGGGGGCAGAGTCCTCGTGCACATTTAAGGCTAGGATAGATAGATTCTTGATGAGTAGGGAAATCAAGGGTTGTGGGGATAGAGTAAGAAAGTGGACATGAGGAATGTCAGACCAGCTATGGTCCAATTGAATGGTGGAGCAGGCTCAAGGAAGCAAATGGCCTACTCTTGTTTCTATTTCCGATGGTCTTATGGCCTGATGGAGGAGATGTACGATCACTCTCTATCCCTTGATTTGAAGGTGAAATCTTCTCACACTTGAGAGAATCTGCCATGAGGTTGTGTGACTGAACAGGCCAATTTTCAACCCACAGATCTCTTTGTCACATGGGGCAGGATATCCCAAAAGGCAGAACGTTTCAGGGTGCAGGAGTTGCTTCCTTTCCTTTCCTTCGCTGTCACCGCTCTGCCTTGACATTGAGGCATTTGGACTCAAAAGTGCGATGCAGCTTGATGGACAGGATGTCGCTATTTTGAATAATTGATAGCAAGCTGTTCAGGTCATTCATGTCAGTGCTGCTGTGCCTTAAGGAAAGGTTCAGAGTACCTTTGAAAATGTTTTTTGGTCCTCCTCTAGAACACTGGCCATTTGAAAATTGTGTGAAGGGAATTTGATGGTGGAGATACATTCAACTCTGTGGACACAGAGTTCAGTCCATTGAAATTGATTTCAACATGGGTTCTACCTAAATACATGTGGAGATGGCTTCAAGAAAAAGTGTTTATTTGACAGTCCTCCAACTGATTCCAGAGGATGTGGCAGAGGTATTGCTGAGGAATTTCCCTTTCGCTCTTACTTGTTGCTAATACACAGTCCAGGTCTTCCTGAAGTACAGAAGTGTAGTGATGACAATTGTTCTATACACCAGGACTTTTGTTAACTTGTAGAAGTCTTTGTTATCAAACGCTCACTGCCATAGTTGATTGAAGGTTGAAGTAGCTGACTCTTTGTTGGATCTTAGCATCAAAGGTGTCCTTTCAAGTGACAGAGTTGCCAAACTATGAGAAATGCTCAACATTTTCCAGATTCGTTCAAAAATAGGAAGTGGAGTATTGGCTGGTAGATCGTGAATGCCTATGGTGGTCAGTTTAATTTTGACACGTAAGTGATTGAGGTTAAGGAGGGGTCCATCAAAGTGGTATTTAACATTCACACCAGCAAACATTTGATCTTTGATGAAGCAAACAGCCACCCCAGGCAGATTGTAAATTGTGTGGAGGCCATCCGTTACGAACAGAAATGAAAGAGAGCTGAAACCTTGCTCACTTTCCT